CATCTGCAGAAGGCTTTTAATGCAGTGAAACATCTGCAGAAGGCTTTAAATGCAGTGAAACATCTGCAGCAGCTCCGCACAAAGGCCAAGGCAGATTCCTGGTCGCGCGCAGGAGGTGGCCACTCTCCACCTGCAGTCTCGCTGCTGATGCTGTATCATCACCCCTCTCCTGTGTGCGCGCGCGTGTGTATTTGTTATCGCAGACTCCGTGAGTGTTCCTCACACCCACCGCCCCCTCCTCCCTTCCCCCTCCCGCGCCTCCTTTTAGCATCTGAAAGGACCACTGAGTGAGAATCGATGCGCAGAGGCCCGCCCGACAGGACAATACCCGGAGCAGAAGGGGTGAGGGTGGCTGCTTTTCTCCTCTCGGCTCTTTGTTTTAACGCTGGAATCACTGGAATGACTGGGGACGGGTTCGGGGCTGGCTGGGTCAAACCCATCTTTAACACAAGCCATCTTTTGTTAGCGCCGTCTGATCTCCAGCAGGCGTCAGCTGCACTCGTGTGTGTGGGGGGGGGGGGGGGGGGGGGGGGGGGGACATGGTACCAAAAAAAAAAAAAAAAAAACACCAGCGGCTCGGAACCCGCGACGTTTGGGCCATACATTTAAACATGAACGCATCATCATCATTAGCTGCAGCTGCGTGGCGTTGGATGAGACTCGGCTGCGGGATGCTGCGGTTCCATCAGGGTGCTCCGGATGCGGTTCTGTTGCTGTAAACAAAACATCATCCGGATGCTGAGCCGAACAGAACCAGAAAACTGGAAGAACGTTTCTGTTCAGTCCTGACCAGGGCTCAAAGGAAGCTGTCTGTCTGTCTGTCTGTCTGTCTGTCTGTGTCTGTCTGTGTGTTTGCAGGTCCTCAGGTTCCCATGACCCAGTCAGCCCCGAGCAGAATCAATAGTCAGAAATATGATGCTATTCTTGGTACAGTGGATCTCCCATCTCCCCAGCATGTATTACCCAGAACCTAATCCTTTTCTGGGTCCAGATCCAGTCTGAGATCCATAGCTGAGTAGGACCTGATCCTGTTCTGGGTTCAGGTTTGGTCTCAGACCAACAACAGAGGAGTCTGAGACCTGCAGTTCTGATAAAGTGTTGATCTCCTGTCTCCTCAGATCAGATATGGGCTGCCAGTGACCTCACCTGACCTCACCTGACCTCACAGCATGTGGTGTGTCTGTGCCCCGCTCACATCCAGCCCCTTCCAGCACCAGGTCCAGCCATGCTCCGCCTCAGCCCGGCACCCTGCCTCCTCCAGACCCTGAAGCCCAGCCACGACTTCTCATGAGGCCACCACCAGAACTCAGCAGAACTGCTCTGGATGGAGCCGCTCACATCTGAAGTATGTTCTGCTTGAAGATATGTGACGAAATGAACACGTTCATGGTTCTGGGTGGGACTGAACACACACTGAGGGGTCAAGTTGCTCTTCAGCTGAGGTCCAGAACTGTTTGAGGAGTAATCAGCAGTGCTTTTATAAAACAACTGGATGTTCTGCAGCTTTAAGTTAAATTAAAATGATTGAGCAGTTTTAAAACCAGATGACACATTTTAGGGTGTCTCAATCATAAAGATTAGTTTTATTATTTTAAACCAAAATAATTCATGAAAAACTTACGATCCTAACTACAAAACAGATTGAGATGTATAAAATGTAAGAGAAGAAACTGAATGCAACAATGTGCAAATCTTGTAAAAAAAAATTATTTCAGTGGAACATGGTTTAATCTGTAAACGTCTAGAACCTGCAGAGGACCAGCTTTTGGAGGTTTAGGAGGACCTGAGGGGACCTGTTGTTGGAGGTTAGGAAATGTTGTCCCATTGTGGTCTGGAGAATTTCAGCTGTTCTACAGTCATGTGTTCTCTCTGCTGGATCTTTAGTTTCATGATAAATCAAATGTTTTCAGTGTGTGAGAGGTCTGGACTTCAGACAGGTCAGTTCAACATCTGGACTCTTCTTCCATGAAGCCACGCTGCTGTCATGATGCAATTTGTGGTTGTCTTGCTGAAATATTCAAGGCATTCTTGATAAAGACGTCTGGATGGAAGCAGATGTTTTAAAACCTGTAGATATTTTCGGCATTGATGGGATGGTAAATCCTCCTTTTTAGCGTGGAGGACGTGGCATCCATAGTTTCCAAACAGAACTTAATATTTGGATCCATCTGACCTCAGAACAATTCTGGACTTCACCTTAGTCCATCTGAAATGAGCTCTGGTCCAGAGATGATGGCAGCGGTTCTGGATGGTGTTCACATATGGCTTCTTCTTTGTCTGATAGAGCTTTAAGCAGCATTTGTGGATGAACTGTGTTTACAGACAATGATCTGTGGAAGTGTCCTGATGCATGCTCAATAATCCAGGCAGAAAAATCCAACAAGGTTAAGTCAGGTCCTCTGGAAGGATTCTTCTTGTTGAAACTTTTTGTCTTTTATTCAAAAGACTTATTCAGTCTGAGGAGCTGCAACAAACTCAGTCTTATAAATAGCATCTTAGTGGATCAACCAGTTTGTTGTTGACATCCATGTGAACAGCTAGTTCTGGATGTCAACAACAAACTGGTTGATCCATGAGAAGGTGATATTTATGAGACTGAGTTTGTTGCAGCTCGTCAGACTGAAGAAGTTCTTTGGATAAAGGACAAAATGTTTCTACAAGAAGAATTCGTCCAGAACACCTGACTTAACCTTGTTAGATTTTTCTGCCTGGATTATTGAGCATGCAATTTGATGAAGATTATTTGATACTATTTTCCATTGTGGGGAAAAAAATCATAAAACACTGTATGTGTTTATGGTCATTGCATTATTATTATTATTATTATTATTATTATTTTTACATTTGACACAATTTATTTTATTTCAAAACAAAACATAAATTGGCCTTGACAGAATGGATGGTATGCTTCATCTTTTGTTGCCCAACCTCTTGAGTCTGAGACCTTTGCACCTGTCCACAGGTGTTCTGGTCCACCTGTCCACAGGTGTTCTGGTCCATCTGTCCTCAGGTATTCTGATCCACCTGTCCTCAGGTGTTCTGATCCACCTGTCCTCAGATGTTCTGGTCCATCTGTCCACAGATATTCTGGTGTACTCCTCGTGATCAAACTGCTCCAGCTGTGTCAGGTTTGACAGGTTTCCTCTTGAGACGTTTCAGCTCCTTCCTCAGATATTCCACAGGATTTAGATCAGGACTCAGAAGGACACTTCTGTCTCTGAACACAGAGCTGATGGGACTTGTTGCTAAAATGCTTCAGTTTTGTCTTGTCTGTCCAGAGGAAATTGTCCCAGAAGATTTGTGACTTCTAGAAATGCATTTTGGTTTCTTGTAGTCTTTTGTCCTCCTCAATCTTCCATTAACTGATGGTGTGATCAGATGACCTTTGACCTTGGAGTTCACCTGTAATCTTTTGGACGTTGGTCTGGACTCTCTGATTACCATTCTTTTTATCAGTCTCTTCATTTTGTTGTCAATTGCCCTCACGTGGACATGTGTATGTTCTTTATCAAATTCAAATGAAAGGGTCGAGTTAGACGATGTACAGTTTTACTCAAACGGGGATTTAGAGTTAAACATGAAACAAGAATAAAGAGAGAAACTACTAAATTAGAAAGGTGTGTAGTGTATATTTTTAACCCTAATCAGAAAATTGTATTTCCTTGAAATTGAGATTAGTGCAAGTATTTAAACATGAACCTCCTCTTCCTCAGCTGACATGGAGGATGAAGATGGGACTTGTCTCCTTGATGTTTTGTGGTGAGTTTCTGCCTCTATGAACAGGACTTTAATATGATCTCCTCCTTCTAAAATGTGCATCAAACTATATTTTCCCTCTTTCCGCTCTAACCCTGTCAGAAAAACAAAGAGTCACTAATCTGGGCGTGATAATGGACCCTTCCCTGAAACTTAACAGTCATGTTAACATGATTGTTAAATCATGTTTCTTCCAACTGAGGCGGCTGTCTAAACTGAAGCCCATATTGTCCAATAATAACCTGGAGACAGTAATACATGCATTCATTACATCTAGGCTTGATTACTGCAATTCGCTCCTGTTTGGTATCAGTCAGGCCTCCATTGCACGACTACAACTGGTCAAGAATGCAGCAGCCCGATTTTTAACCAGTACAGGCAAAAGAGAGCACATTACACCAGTTTTGGCCTCACTGCATTGGCTACCGGTTCACCTTCGAATCCCGTTCAAAATACTCATGTATGTCTACAAATCGCTGAACAGTTTCGCGCCCCCCCATCTCTCTGATCTGCTACAACCGTATGTCCCACCACGTTCCCTGAGGTCAGCGGACCAGTTGCTCCTCACAGTTCCAGGAACTCGTCTTAAGCACAGAGGTGACAGGGCCTTCTCTGTAGCAGGACCAAGACTTTGGAACGAGTTACCTCTGCTTGTCAGACAGGCCCCCTCCCTCTCGGTTTTCAAATCCCGTTTAAAAACTCACTACTATTCAGTAGCTTTCAACACCAGAGAATGTGTTTTGAACCTGTATGTTCCACACTGGTTTGTCGTCATATTTATTATCTGCATTGTTTTTATGTCTATATTCTGATTTACCACATTTTGTATATTGCTTCGTGTGTTGTTTGTTGTTCTGTCTGTACAGCACTTTGGTTGGCCTTGTAGCTGTTTTAAGTGCTCTATAAATAAAATGGTATGGTATGGTATATTTTCATGAGGGTTTCATTCAGTTTAATTCTGTGCTTTTGCAGTGATGCCCAAGCCCTGAACGACTTCCTTCATGGGACCAGTGAGGTAACAGCTACCTTACAGTAAAGCAGACTTAAAAGTATCAATAATATTTTGAGCTGCAAGTGTTTTCTGGCACCCAGTCGTGAGAAATGTGTGTAGGTGTTCTGACAGTGAGAAATAAAGTCATACTGTCTGCACTTTTCACCACAATCAAACAAGCCCAACCCCAAAAAGCCTGATTTTTTTATCCCACCAGCTGCACGCAGAAGATCTGCTCATTAACTGCTCCTCTGGGGAGCCGTCACTTTTCACAGCAGCCTCGGTGAGTGTCTGGAAGCACAGCCAGCAGCATTTACCCACAGGAGAATGTTGTTTTTATCACTTTTTTTCTGAAGCAGCATCTTGTTAACTCTGATTAATCACACAGTCCCCTGTGCCATTTTCCTTGTGTCTCCTCCGCTGTCTGTTTTTGTCTCCCAGAGTCCTGTTTCTTTACTGGGAGACGACAGGGATTCCCCGGACACGCCTCCACCGGGGAGCGTGGACCTGTCCTTTCTGGAGGAGGCCCTTCTGTCCTTTCCAGAAGGTGGAGAGGACCCGCAGGATGGGCCGCTTGCGGAGACTGGATGCGAGGCAAACAAAGGGGAAGTGGATGAGGAGGTGGAGGTGGAGGTGGCATGTGACATCCTCCAGCAGAGCCTGCAGGAGGCTGAGATCACGGAGCAGACCATGGCTCTTGAAGCAGGTCTGGCACAAACAGGGGACAGTTTGTCCCTGTACTCACCAGCCCCTCTCCTCTCGTCACACACTGTGCCTGCCATCCCCAAGTCTGTGATGCAGCCCGTTCCTTCAGCAGTGCCCAGAGACACCCAAGCAGCAGTGGAGCCTCCCCAGCCCTCCCTGCTGGCCGTTGGACCGGGCTGCCCATCTCTAAAACCTGCTCAGCTGATGGGATTACTCCCTGGAAATGTGTTCCCTGCTTCATCTTCAGACACTTCATTCTCTTTAAGTCCTGCTCAAGGCTCCAGTATGATTCTACACAAAGCTGTGTCCGGTGTCACAGGTCAGCCCCTCGTTAACCCTACACTGAGAGCCGCAGTGGTACCAGCACCAGGTCTGGTCTTACAGCGTTCTCCTCTTCCTATCCAGCCCAAACTGCCCATTAGCATTCAACCCCGGCTGGTCCAAATCAGCCCCAAGCCTTCAGGGCAGAAACCCACCCCTGGCCTTACGTTTGTCCCTGGGACTGCCTCATCAAATATTTTACTGTCTCAAGCCCCCGGCCAAAAATCTGCAGTCCCACAGCCAACTCAGCAGCTCTCTAAAGCAGTTAGCCTGCAGCTGGTCAACCAAGGCAGCTCCTTCGTGCTCCAGCCTCAGGGAATCTTCCAAAGTCAGAACCAGTTTCTTTTTCCAGGCCAGTCTCCTGTCACAATTTCCCAGTCTGTCAGAGCAGCTCCACCTTTGCTCACCCCGAGTCACCAAGGCCCCCCAGTTCATAGCTCCACTGGCCAGTTTGTAGACAGCTCCCAGATCCTGACAGTACCCCAGAGACAGCTGAACTTCAGCCCAGTCTTCACCACTCCCGCAGGGCAGCTAGCTCTCCGCCAGGCCACTGTGCTTTCAGGACCATTACAGCTCCAGTCAGCCCCCACCACTGTCTTCCAGATGCCAGCACAGCTGGCTGGAACTTACACTCCAGGAGGGCAGGGACCACAAGCTACACTGGTCCACAGTCCTGCTCTCGGGAACCGCATTACCTTGATCAACAGTTCAGGTGTGCTTCCCCAAGATCTTGCTTCCATCTCTATCGTTAACGGCCCTTCGGTTGTTCAGGGACTGCCGTTCACTGCCCAGGCCCCCCCTGCTCCACAGGCAGAGGGTCAGCTGAACCTTCAGCGGGCTTCTGTGGTCCTGCTGCCTGAGAGGCTTGCACCAGATAACAGAAGCAGCTCTGAGGAACCGTTCCACCAGCCCCAGCAGGTGAGCTCGCACCGCTCTGCATCCACCCACTGAGGAGAAGCATCACTTACAGCACAAACAAAACATGAAAACACAACTTTTATGTAAGTGTTTTTTTGTCCCCTTCCAGCCCTTTGGACACATTGTCCATCATGTGTCCGTACAGCCCACATCTGCAGGACTCCCGTCCTCACCTCCTCCTGCAGTCACAGTTTTACAGCCCCCACCTGAGCCACCTGTTGTGCCCAGTTCAGCCATGGAGGCGTCCGAAGTTATGATGCCCCCAGCAGAAATGAACCAAGTTCTGGAAGAGGTCAACCAGTCCATGAGTCAGAACCAGGACTTTATGCAACGTCTGCAACAGGTCAGTGCTCCTGCAGCTACTGTTTCTGTTTAGTGGTGGTCCAAGAGAGTCATGGTCTGTGACATCTTACTAATAACAAGATGCACTTTTATCTCTTTCATAATGTCACACTGTGGCTTCAGGCTTTGAACGCTGACATTCAGAGATGGTCTTAGACAGAAGAAGATGGTGTCTCACTGGGCTGCAAATGTTGGAGGCTCAAAATCAGGTCTTTCTTGTAAATGAGTCCCTGAGGCTCAATGGGACTAACCTGTATAAATAAAGGTTGAATGAAAAAAAAAAAAGAGCAGGAAATTGAGAATAAGGTGTTTTTCAATACAGTCCTACTGAACTCAGCATCAGCATACACAACAGGCTGAGTGGGGCACATTGACTGGCGCTGTCACCTCACTGAAGGTTGCAAGATCATCTCCCACCTGAAGCCTTTCTGCGTGGAGTTAACATGTTCTTCCTGTGGGTTTTCTCCAGGTATTCCGGTTTCTTCCCACAGACCAAAAACATGCATGTTAGGCAGATTGGTAACTCTAAATTGTCCCTGTGTGAGTGAGAGTGAATGGTTGTTTGTCTCATTTGTCTCTATGTGTCCCTGTGATGGACTGGAGACCTGATAGGGTGTCCCCTTCCTGTTGCACAATGACCCTTGCAACCTGGAAAGTAAGAAGTGTGTAAAGACACTGGATGTATAAATGGAAAGTAATTTGAGGCTTAAAGAAAAGAGTCACATTACATTTTGATTGACAGCCTGTCAGTGAGTCAGGAGGCTGTGACGGCAGGACTTTTGTCCTGAGGGTACAGACCCACACCCTTGTGAAAATGCAACATGGCAGCACCTAAAAAACAAACAAACAAACAAATAAAACATACACTTTGACTATAATTCAAAAGAATAGGAAGAAGCCAAGATGGTTTGTCCATCTTTACTGATGTTGATGTTCAAGACAATCTGGAGACTATGGAGCAGTTCTCCAACTGGCCGTCAGACCAGTGAGGTTCTGGCTTTAGCTATGATTAAAAACTAAAGACACCAACTTAAAACATGGAGCCTCAAAGCCTCAGTGCAGTGAAAGTTAAAATCAGGACCAAAGTCCAGTTTTAGTTGTGTGAATGTTTGTGATCACTCTATTGTGATTCTTTTTTCTTTCATTCGTTTGTCAGCACGAATCTCGTCCCACAGTTTTCAATCTATTTCAACAAATCATGAATCAAAACGTTCAGCTCTTTCAGGACAATCCTGCTAGGACTTTTGGTGCGACTTTAGCTTTTTTAAATATTTAGCTTTTTCTGTCATTTTTTTTTTCTCATAGAAAATGAATTGAGCTCATTAGACATCCTTCACATATTTAGATCTGTTTACAACCTTTAACTGCTCCTTTCACATTTTGTTCTGCTTCGGTTTCTTTCAGCTTCCTTGAACAAGTTTAAACTTTTTTTCAGCTAATTTCAGCTGGGGTTTTTTCAGCTGTTTTGTGCTCCTTTCAGATTCTTTCTGCTAACTAAAAATACAAATTTTTGTGCTTCTTCTAACTTCTTTCTGCTAATTTCAGCTTGTTATGCTTCTTTTAGCTTAATTATGCAAGTTTTGGCTTTTTCAACAATTTCAGCTACTGTTTAGCTGTTTTATGCTAATTTGAACTTTTTCAGCTAATTCCACATTTTTTGCATTCATTTAAACTTTTTTCAGCCTAATTCAGCAAAAATATTCTCTCTCCACTTCCTTCTTGTAATTTCAGCTTCTTTCTACCTGTTTAGCTACTTTTCAACAGTTTTTTTTTGCTAATTTCAGCTATTTGTCAGATAATTTCAAATTTTTGTGCTCATTTCTGCTTCTTTCAGCTTAATTGGGCAAACATGTCCTTTCTGCCTTTTTATGCTAATTTAAGCTTGTTTTACCCTGTCAGCTAACTTTGTAGCATTTTAGCTAATTTAATCTGTTTTCAGATAAATTCACATTTATCGTGGTAATTTCTTCTGCTTTTACGATAATTAACTTCTTTATGCTAATTTCAGCTTCTTATGCTCCTTTCAGCTTTTTTCTACTAGTTTCTACAATTTCAGCTGTTATTTAGCTGTTTTATGCTAATTTTTGCCTTTTCAGCTAATTATTCCTTTTTTAAAACTCATTTAAGCTCTTTCCACTTCCTTCTTGTAGTTTAAGCTTCTTTCTGCCTTTTCAGCTATTTTTGCTGATTTCAGCCTTTTTAGCTATTTTTTTGTGCTCATTTCTTAATATTTAACCCTAATTCAGCAAATATGTGTTATTTCTGCTTTTTTCTGCTACTTTAGGCTAGTTCTACATTTCAGCGTGTTTTTTTTGCTAATTTCAGCTGTTTCTCAGTAAGTTCTTCAGCAATCAGCATTCACATGCATTTTTGCAGGAAGTGCAGTTTCTCTAGTTTTAGTTTGGAGTTTATTGTCAGGAGTTGAACGTTCAGTCAGATTTATTGAGCTGTTTGATGTTTCTGTGGCTACAGAGAACTTCTCCTGTCCCGTCTGAGTTACTGGTCGGAGCGCTGCCAGCGGTGCCGATGGAGATGCTGTCTCCTGCCATGACTGACCGCACAAAGACCCAACCCCAGACAGGAGCAGCCTCTGATCAGGAGGACCATGCGATGATGTCACACCAGCCTGATGAAGTTTCTCTTCACTCAGACTCTGAAAATACTCAGATCATCTGTTCCCCCGCTCAGATCCAGGACTCCACAAGACCTGCGTCATCAACTTTCCCCTCCCCACCTGGATCTGAGAGTTCAGTCTCCCAAACCTCAGCTCCCCAGTTCCACATTGAAGCCCATGTTCCCTACCAGGTCCCTCATCAGCTCCAGGTCTCACAGACCCAGGTGAATGTTTCTCAGCCTGCAGCCCAGGTCCAGGTTTCCCATCATGAGCCGTTAAGTCAGAGTTCAGTCCACAGCAGTCCGCCCCCCCACTGTCTCAGCATCTCCGTGCCTCAGCAGCAGACTGTCCTCACAGCTGCTCCTGCTTCACTCTCCAAACCTGGAGACACCTTGGCTGTCCAACAGCCCCCACAAAACAGTGAGTTAATGGAACGTAACGGTGGTTGGGCGGACATCGCTGCTAATGTTATACTTCTTATTTCTAATTCTGCCACCTCACGTGTGATTCGAGTCCCTGTGTTGTTTCTCAGAGCTCACAGCTGCCTTGGCCGTGGAGAGTAAAGCGTTTACTGTCAGTGTGCACCCACCCCCCCATCCTGCAGAGCCCCCGGCTCCCCTGAAGACTCCCCACAGTCAGACCAACAAGCAGACTGGAAACAAGGTGAAGCAAAGTGGTTCAGCTGTATGACTCTTTAATTTCAATGTGAGAATTAATTAAGTGTTTTATTTATTAATGTGAGGGTTTGAAGAAAAATAATAAATGCAACAAAATAAGAAATTATTCTTTTAAATGCAATGAGTGAACAAATTTTTGTTTGTCAGCTGGCAGGACCTATGGAGCTGCTGAGAGAGGAGAGACTCACCCCAGCAGCACGTAGGAACAGGTGGGATAACGTCCTGACATACCTCTCAGTCCATATGTCCAGCCATCCTGACGTACTTCTCAGTCCATATGTCCAACCATCCTGATGTACTTCTCAGTCCATACGTCCAACCATCCTGACGTACCGCTCAGTCCAATACGTCCAACCATCCTGATGTACTTCTCAGTCCATACGTCCAACCATCCTGACGTACCGCTCAGTCCAATACGTCCAACCATCCTGACGTACCGCTCAGTCCAATACGTCCAACCATCCTGACGTACAGCTCAGTCCACTACGTTCAACCATCCTGACGTACAGCTCAGTCCAATACGTCCAACCATCCTGACGTACAGCTCAGTCCAATAATCCAACCATCCTGACGTACAGCTCAGTCCATACGTCCAACCATCCTGACGTACAGCTCAGTCCATACGTCCAACCATCCTGACGTACCGCTCAGTCCAATACGTCCAACCATCCTGACGTACAGCTCAGTCCATACTTCCAACCATCCTGACGTACCACTCAGTCCATACGTCCAACCATCCTGACCATCCAGCCATCGAACCAACCAGCCAATCTACTCAGCCACAGTTGCCCCTGTGGCTGAGTAGGTCAGTGTAACTTCTACCCACTTGAATATCTTGAACCAAAAACATTTAGGTTTACTTTCAATTTCAGTCCAGAAAAACATTTCCAAAACCACAAACACTCACTTTTCAAATCCCTTGGCGATGCGGGATAAATATGAAACAGCACACTGACTCTGAGTTTTCCCTGTTTTGTTTGTAGATTCCAACAGCACCTTTGTTTGGACCACAGAGCTGTGCAGAACCCGCTCACCATCCCAGCATTCACGTCTGTGAAAGATGCTTTTCGACGTCTGCTTCCATACCACACCTGTGCCGGTCATCTGCCCACTCACGAGGACTTTAATTTAGGTCAGACAAATTTGGTTGATAATAAAAATATAAAATATTGCTTCAGTTCTTGTTTTCAGGTTTTACTGAACTTCCTGTTCTGTAGTTTGTGATGCAGAAGATTTACTGCTAAATGACACGTTGAACAAAGTTTCAGTACGATCTTACTCCATCTGTCCAGCAGTCTGTCTGCAGTTAATCTGAGAGTGTCGTTTGCGTTTCCACAGTGGACCAGGAGTTTTACACCATGTCTGGATTCCTTCTAAAACGCACCAAGGACATGGTCAACAAGTACAGACAGCTGCTGGTGAAAGAAACCCAGGTGAGACACTGCACACAGCTCCACCTACCTAACATTATCTTTTATTAACTGAATCAAACTGGGAACCCTGAGTGGCATGAGAACTGGATCATGCTGCACTGCTGGAAGAACAGAAACTCAGAGCTGATGTCCCGTGAAGCACCTGACGGCTGTTTACCTGTGAAGGACTGTTTCAGGTTAAAACCTTCTGTCTGTTTACACGAGAACAACCTCTGGAAACATCAGTGGGGTTATATTTTTATGTTCATTGAGGCAAGTAAACAAAAACTGTGCAGGTTTACATGGATCTGCTGTCGTTTGCATGCCAGGCAGGGTTGCCAGATAAGAAATGAACTATTGTACTGTCGCTTTAAAAATGATTGTGTTTTGACCTAACCTGTCACATGAACAGAGTAAGGGTGTTGATAGATGAGGTGTGTGTTGTGTTTGGTGAATGTGCTCACAGAAAAGGAGGGGGTAACAAAATGTATTTGTGTTTATCTGGCAACCCTGATGTCGTGCTCAGCTGCATGCATTGTGACTGCAGCATCTGCATAATCACAGTTATATCCAAACTGGTGAACACAGGAACATTTCTTCAGATCTAGGATGTTGTTGGTTTGCTCTTATATGCTGAAAAAGGGTGAGGAGCACAAAAACACTCTGCACATTTCTTATCTGGCAACACTGCCTGGCATGGGAATTACATCATTTCCATGTGAACGGGTTCTTTTTTGTATATTTACCACAATAAGCACTGAAAAATACAAAGGTCTCCAGAGGTCGTTCTTGTGTAAACAGGCCCTGTGTGTGTGTGTGTGTGTGTGTGTCTGTGTGTGTGTGTGTGTGTGTGTGGCCTCAGGCAGTAACCATCAGAGGTTCAACTGCTACTGAACAGCTGAACCAAGTTCAAGGTGGCCACACAAAAACGCCATAACTCAGTCAAATTTACAAACATTGAGCTAAAACAGTGTGGTAGTAGTTGAGAGTCATTAATACGACGTGCTATTAGTGTGACAACTTGCACAACATTATTTTAACGATTTGACTAAAACAACTACCGGTCTCATCATGAGAAGACGTTGTTTGAAACTCTGGAACTCTGGTTTCCACAGCAGGAGAGTCCATCAGCAGAGATGGTGATGTTGGAGCGTCTCTTTCTGCAAGCTGAGAGGTTTGCTTTAACTGAGGACAGACGGCGAGCTCGCAGAGACCCAGGTCAGTGTGCCATCACTAAGTTAGCTCGATCTGAGATCATTTACATCCACAGAAATACAATGAGTGCTCCAGAGCAGCTCCAAAGCAGCTCCCAGGTGTGAACATGTAATTAATATGTGTAAATGTGGAGCAGGTGCACTCTAAGACTCCTCAATGGAAAAAAAGAGGTTAATAACAAATACAAAAAAGAGTTTTATGTTTATTAGGAGGTTAAAACGTGGAAGGAGACTCCTGAAAGCTTGTAGATGTCACACCTGGCTGCGGTTAAACTCTGCAACACTTGAGGGAATAATAAAAAGATAAAAATTCCAATTATATCTCAATAAAAAGGCATTTATCGCCTGCAGTATCTCACGTTTGTAAGCACTGCTGCTACACAACAACTCGACCCAAACATCCAAAGCACGACAGCCAAACTGGTTCAGAGTCCAGGACAAGGCAGCATGACAGACTCCTGCACTTCTACAAAGAGCTAAAGACTCGGACTGAAGAACGTAACGCTGCCTTACAAGCTTACATCTCGTCTGCTCTCAGTTTACATTTCAAGCAAATATTCCAGTAATGAACCAGTTAAATATGCAGTTCTTGTTTCATCCTCTGCAGGTGGTGTGCTTAAATCCAGCTCACAGATTAAAACTGAATTATTTCATGTTCATACTGTCATGAGATGATTGTATTAAAGGATATAACAGAATCCAGATGTTGTTTTTGTGCTTTGGACGGCGTGCAGGGGCTGCAGGCTGGCTCTCGTGGCCCTTACTGGCTGTCCAAAGCTTTCAGACTGAGATCAATGCCACAAATCAATTTAAAGACATTTTCAAAACCCCAAACACGGTTTCTACGATGCAGGAATGTTTATTTTTAAAACTCTGGTTGAAGTAACAGAACTGTCGTTTATCCTTTATAGAATTAGAAGCAAAGTGATAAATGTAGCTGTCAATTCTCTTTCTCTCAGAAACTTTTCTAACAGCCTTGGCAACGTCAGCGTCGTCCCCTCATGAGGCCTTCTCCTCTGGCCCCGCCCCTCTGGACTCCCCTGCCAACCCCTCCTCTCCACCAGCTTGGAGCCAGTTGTCGGAGCGGCCCCCAGGACTGAAGACGTACCACTCCAGCTCTCGTGGCGCTCTCAGACTCACCATCAAGCAGGAGTCTGGCTCTCGTAAAGTGATCCACAACTCCGCCTGCGACCCCGGCCTGAAGAGGGACCACGCCGGCCAGCTGACTAACGGTGGTGGGGGCTTGAACAAATGCCCTCCTCAGGCAACAAACGGAGCTTCCCAGCATCCTCAGCATGATGAGATGTCCAACGGAGCCCTTACCGAGAACATTATTGAACAGGTCCAACAGAAGACACCCAGTCCCAAAATAACCCCCTCCAGTCCTCTCCCTGTGCTCGAGGACGTCTGCTTGGACCCACCTCCCAGAGACGTCAGTGCCCCCAAATTAAAATGCTACAGGCTCGAAGTGTCTCCTCGGTCAGAGCAGTTCAGCCCTGCAACGCCGCTGCGTCAAAACGAGCACACGCTCAGCGAACACCTGCAGAGCGCCATCGACAGTATCCTGGAGCTGCAGCGCCTGCAGGGCACCTCTGCAGCTCCCACCAGGACCTCATCGGGCCCTGCACTGGACCAGGCTGTCACCAGCATCCTGGAGGGACACCTGTGAGGTAAAAGGTAGAACCAAGTGTTCAGATGTTGCCTGAACTGACTGAAGAAAGGCGCTATGAAGAGATTCCTACCAGATAAAGCACCAGATGTTCGATGCTTCATTCCCGACGAACGTTTGCAGGAAACAAAATCCATCTGAAGAGAAGCTACATCGATCCAGCGGTTCAGATGACGCTGCTGTAGCTTCCATCAGCAGACAGTTTATAAGTTATAAACACGGACTAGAGTCAGATTATTCAATAGTTTTAATAAGATTTCTTTTGAAAGTGTGAACTTTTTTTTTTTGTTTTGCATAGTGCCAATCTTCCAGGGTATTTATTTAGAAAACTTGTGCCAATTCTGTTCTGCATTGAGAAATGAATGAGACGTGTGTGTGTGTTGCAGGGGTGCCCAATATGTCGATCGCGATCTACCGGTTGATCTCAAAGGTATTATGGGTAGATCGCATGACATTAAAAAATAGACGTCAGCCGATCATCCATCTATGAAATTTATCTCTTGATTGACAGACAGGGCAGCCAATCTGCGGCCCCGTTTACACGACGTGAAACGTTCGTTCATTTACAGACAACAGCCTCGTTCTCTCTGAAACCTAAGGTTTCTGAATCCAGGTCACAACAGGCGGCTGCAGTCCAAAGTTTTTCTGCACTAACAACAGTTATAATAAATAACAGTTATAATAAATAACCATTATAATAAATATAACAACAGTTATAATAAATAACAGTTATAATAAATAACAGTTATAATAAATAACCATTATAATAAATATAACAATAGTTACAATAAATAACAGTTATGATAAATATAACAACAGTTATAATAAACGGCAGAGAGCAGAGTGTTTTTGTGCTGCTCACCCTTTTTCAGCATGTAGGAGCAAAACTAATAAAATCCAGTTCCATAGAGACATTAGTGTATTCACCAGTTTGGAATAACTGTCATGTAGACACTGCATGCGCGATGAATGCCGCTGAGCCCGGCATCAGGGTTGCCAGATAAATTTCAAATGTCTTATTTACCCCCTCCTTTTCTGTGCACATGTTCAACAAACACACACCTCACCTTAAAATATATTTACTCAGCTCACATGACAGTTTCGGTCAAAATACTATAATTTTAAAGCCACAATATAGTTCATCAATTCTTATCTGGCAACCCAACTGGCACGGAAACTACAGCGTTTTCGTGTAAACCCGCTCATTTTTTAATTTATTACCAATAAACATTGGAAAAAAACCCCACTAAAGTTTCCAGAGGTTGTTCTCGTATAAATGGGGACTTATAGCAGGTAGATCACTTTGACCTGGTCATTTTAAAAGGAGCTTGCAGGCTGAAAATGTCTGGGCACCCCTGCTGTAGAGTGTGAGAGGTGAGACAGAACACTAAACCATTCCTGTTTGCTCCATCGTCTCGCCTTCATGAATGAAACTCCAAAGAATCTGTGAGCCGTCTCGTCCTGAATACACCAGCAAATGTCACGTAGTTTCGCCACGTAAAATAAGAAGGTGGGCAGTTCTGTTTGTGTCGACCCGCCCTGTGGAGTCGACCTGTGGATCAGCGGAGCTCCTGGTCCACGTGTTACCATGCTAAAGCAATAAGAAGTTAGGCCGGGTGGGGTCAGCGGTGATGCAGGAGGAGGGAGCTGCTCGGATTGCTGACTTCCTGTCCTTGTGGTTAAAAAAAATGTTTCAAATGTGACTCAAGGGCTTGAAGGTGGCTTGTTGGCATCAGTTACCATAAAATGATGTTTCAAGTAGAAAAACAAAAAAACAACCAAAACTAGAACAGCCGTAGTTGGAGCATCTTCAGCCTTTTACCAAAAACACCTGGAATCATCTGCTCTTCATCACATCTTTGTTTTAAATGGACAAATATTTATTTTCATACAAACGTTGCTGAGCAATACACAGTTTGATTTTACGTTAATGTGACAATCTGAGCCGTCTTTATGAAAATGTGAATTCAGTTTGTGGTGTGATTTTTAAGAGACGTGTTGTTTCTGACCACGACGTCGTTAAATATGAGCTAAACGTCTCCGTAGGGTTACATTTATTAGTAAACGCTGCAAAATATCCAACATTCATAAGGTAAAAATGGGGAAAATGTTCAAAATGCAACATTCTAGTCAGAATACATGGAGTTAATTTTGTGTCTTCATCGTGTTATTCTACAGATTAAATCTAATTTGGGATTAAAATATGAAATCAAAGTTTCAGTGGCCAGAATTCAAATAATATTTTGTTTTGAAGTTAAACCGATTTGATGTGTCGGCTTCAGGTTTTTACCGGCTGTTGACTCGTCTCATCGATGAGCACAATTAGATTTCACACAAACTTCTTCTGTTTGTAGTTCAGACACAAAACTAACTCCCTATCAGAAGTTAAACCTTAAATATTTGGAAACATTTATGATGCCTTACTGCCAGCACACTCCTGAATATAACCGAGTGTTTTGGAGTTGAAAATGTCCTAAAGTGTGAGAGAAAACCAACATTTGTTTCTCGAAGCAGCTGTTCGTGTCTAAATTGTGTTTTGTTGCAGAACGAGTTGTAATATGCAGTAAGTTCGACGCAGGAGCTCCAGCTGAGCCCACTGGGTCAGGGTGTTCCTGGTCTTTAGCTGGACTTCCTGGACCACCTGGGTCTCGGTGGGGGTTCTTCTGAAGCAGACTGGATCTCTTTGGGTTTCCGCCCAACGCAGTAAGATGTCGAATCCTTCGACTTCTCAGAGAAGTCCAGCTAAACCAACAGATTTTGTGGAGGGTTTTATTTATTTAGAGCAGGACTCTTCAGCTAAACTGCTCAGGGGCCCCCAGTTACTGAGAGCCAGCAGCTCAGGGGCCCCCAGTTACTGAGAGCCAGCAGCTCAGGGGCCCCCAGTTACTGAGAGCTAGCTGCCTAGGAGCTGGACATCCAGCTGTTATTCTCATCAAGTTTGTTTTGTGGTTTAAAATCTAGTTTTATTTAACATGAACCCATTGGTGGCCGAACAGTTAATCCGTGGGCCTGATTTGGCCCCTGGACCATCAGTTGAATAGCCCTGATTTATGACTTCTGATCCTTTAAAAAGGAGTCAGAACTGGTCCATGAGAGCCAGGGGTTTATTTTGGAGCGTGTCTGAGTCAAGGTGTTCTTTGATGGATGTTTCCTTTCACCTTTTTAGCATTTTCAGCTAATTTTAGCCGTTTTCAGATCAATTAGTTTTTGTAACTTATGCTCTTTCAGCCTAATTAACTTCTTGCTAATTTCAGCTTATGCTCCTTCGGCTTATTTCTGCCAGTTTCAGTTATTTCAGCTGCTATTTAGATGTTTTATGCCATTTCTTGCTTTTTCAGCTAATTCCACTTTTTTTTTTTTTTTTTTTTAGCTCATTTCAACTTTTTCCACGTCCTGGTAGTTTAAGCTTCTTTCTGCCTTTTCAGCATTTTTTCCAAGTTCATTTCATAATTTTTGTGCTCATTTCTGCTTTTTTAAACTTAATTCAGCAAAAGTGTTACTTCTTTCTTCTGCAAATATAGGCTTGTTCTTTTCAGCAAAAATTCAGCTGTTCTTCAGCAATAAGCACACACACGGCATTATTGCAAAAAAAAAAAAAAAAGCAATATCTCTAGTTGCATTTATGATTCAATGCAGCAAATTAAACAAATTAAAAAAGGTACAAGATCATTGTAATACTTGGTGTATTTACATAATGACCAACTGCTGGATGTCCGGCCCCTGAGCAGAAACTGATGTTTAGTTGAAGAGCCCTGCGTTAGAAGAATCATTTATCCGTACACGTTTTATTGTTCCTGACTGAACTGTGAGATCCGGAGCAGCGTGGAACTTTTAGGAACCGACCGTTTGACTGACAGATTGTTCCAATGCCAAAATCAAGAGGCCTTAATTAAAAAAAACAACTAGATTGTAAAAAATGTCATTAATGACAAAAAACTAACAAAAAAACGTCCTTTGACCTGAAACGATCATGAATGATTCATATATGAAATGTTCAAACCTCTTTTGTACTCATTTTTACAGACTATTTATTAAAAATTGTGATTTTGTAAGAAGAAACTTTGCTTCTGTTGTTTTATGTAGATCCACCCATCCATAGATTCATCCTCCATCCATCCATCCATTGATTCATCCTCCATCCATCCATTGATTCGTCATCCACCCATTGATTCTTCATCCATCCATTGATTCTTCATCCATCCATCCTCCATCCATTGATTCTTCATCCATTCATCCTCCATCCATCCATTGACTCATCATCCATCCATCATCTTGTTCTGAAGTCAGGTCTTGGGGGCATTAGGGAGGTCCAGACATCTCTTTCCACAGCCACCTCTTCAAATTCTTCTGGGAGGACTCCCAAGGAGTTCTCAGGCCAACTAAGAGACAGTCTCTCCGTGTCCTGGGTCTTCGCTGGGGTCTCTTCCCAGTCGGACATACCCGAAGCACCTCCCTAGGGAGGCGCCCTTCCTAGGGAGCATCCTTAACAGACCTCCAGGTTCTACTCAGTCTCTCCTGATAATTGAACTTCTCATCCCATCTCTAAGGGAGAGTCCCAGCTACCCTGCAGAGGAAACTCATTTCTACTGGCTGCATCCATGATCTCGTTCCTTCGGTCACTACCAAAAATTTGTGACCATAGGTGAGAGTAGGAACGTAGACCAACTGGTAAACGGAGCTTCTCCTTCAGCTCAGCTCCCTCTTCACCACAACGGACCAGCACAGAGTCCCCAGTACTGCAGACACTTCACCAATCCGTCTGTCAATCTCACGCTCCATTCTTCCCTCACTCGTGAACAAAACCCTCAACTTGAACTCCTCCAGTTGAGACATCAAAGTTCATGCTCAGTAATCCAGGTAGAAAAATCAGTCCGGTCATCTGGACTTGAAGCAGAACCTCACCCTTGACCGAAGTACATTTATATTCATAAACAAGTCGCAGAAGATTCATACAAACGTTTTATTCACAGTTTTAGGAAAATCTTCTGCTTAAAGCAGCCGATTTATTTATTTAAAGTATCATAAATTTCATGAGGGTTTAGTTTTGATTCCACTGGGAGAAGCTGGCATCCATTTCTGACGGAACGGTTCGAATGGTGGAGCGACGTCTGGCTGACACTGAGGAGAAGTGAGGAGTCTCCATCAGGCGTGGGGAGGAAGAGGCACGTTAAAACACGAGCCATGAAATGCCCCCACCTGCTGGAGACGCAAAATATCAGGAATTTACAACGAGCGGACGCCAGCTCTGCCCCTGCTGTGAAACTACCCAAAGAAAAGAACCGGAACGCCTCAACAACAAACTCGTCCTTTATCGTTTGACCTAAAACAGACGGAGAGCCCATCAAGTGCTGCTCGGCTTCCAGAGTCACAAACTTCTCAGACTGACGGAGACGATGAGCAGCTCACCTGCACAGGTGAGCAGGTTGCAGCTTCTTCTTAAAACATCAGTTTCTCATTCATAATCTAAACTTTTCATTATAAATAATTAGATTAACGATTTTTAAAAAAATGTTCACATTCTCACACAGACCACGGCATGTCCACGTTAGTGTTTGTCCCCCCACAGACAGAACCCAGGTGAAATGTCCCCTGTCCATCTGGGACAGTGTCCCCCCCCCCCCCCCCATCAACACATACAGGTGAGAAACTGTCAGGTTGAAGACGAGGAAAAAGGAAACCGTCCGTTTTCTGCAGCTGTGGGCTCAGTTGAGTTTGACGGGCAGGTCTGCTCCGTATTTACGGAGGAACTTGCTGTGGTTGTGGTCCACGGACCAGAGGGGGGGCAGGTGGCGAGGCTGCATGGTGCTGAGGAAGTGCTGCCTCCAGCGCCGCTCCAGGTCCATCAGGCCCCGCAGGCCGTGCTCGGCGTAAGCCTGGACCACCTTCAGGCCGTGAGGCACGTACGCCTCATTCAGGATCCTTCAAACGGAGACAGACGGGTTTCTGTTTTTCTTTTAAAGTATAAATAATCAACAGAAGACTTCAGAATAAGGAGGTCCAGCCACGCACAGGGAGACTCACCTGGTCTCCAGGCTGGCAGCCTGCTGCAGCACCTCCTCGCTCAGCTCCTGCTCCTCGTTCACGCTCAGGAAGCTCCTGATCAGGACCTGCAGCTCCTCGCGCCGCGGCTCCGGCAGTCCCTCCCCGGCGCTGAGCAGAGCCCGCGCCGCAGAGCGAACGCGCCGGCGGTCCGAGTCCTCCAGCAGCCGGACGCCTTCCTCGCAGCCCTGAGGGGCGGCGAACTCTTCGGCCAGCTGCTGCTTCAGGAAGCCGTCGTGCACGTTGGAAGCAGCGTGGCAGAGGGTGCACAGCAGCAGGATGTCGTGGGAGTTGTGGTCCTTCATCTCTGTGGGGAAATGTCGTCTGTATTCGTGCGGCACGATGTTTTTCCTGCGTGAGCAGCAGAGTCGAAGGTTACAATAAATTCACGCGTTTCAGGGGAGGCGTGAGGCGGTCGGACCTGATGTAGGAGTCTGCTTTGCCACAGACCACACACAGGTTCTCCTTGGCCGTCAGATAGTAGTCCTGCTGCGAGTCCGGACGTCCTGAGGGCTCAAACAGCAGCCTCACGATAAACGGATCCTCGCTCTGAAGAACTGCACGACAAACAGGAAGAGCCAGCGTCAGTCTGTGCACGTGATCCAGGAGAAAACTTCAGATCCAGTCACGAGTCTGAAGATCACCTTGAGAGAACCGCATCATACGCCCGTCAACAAACTGCTATACAGCAAGGACGTTGTATAACCTTTGACCTTGAGCTGCGACCTTGACCTTGGAGCTGGTGATGAAAACATTACGTGGCACAGTGTCTTAGTGGTGGTGCAAATGTGCATCATGGTTGTTAAATTATTAATATAATATATATATATATAATGCGTTAGCCTTTTTCCTGATTCAGGACAAAAACTTCAGCAGGACCAGTTTATCTCTGCTTCTTCCTGCAGTCGAGTTCTTTTAGCACCGGATCAGAACACACAGCTGCTTTAAACCCGTTTCATTCATAAAGACTGAAGAAACGTTTTGAGCAGTAGGCGTCTGTGGCTCCGGCTGAACGCCGAGTGTAACTCCTGTTCACAGCCGAGGTCAGAACACCAGCTGTTGGTCCAAACAATGTTTCAAACAGAAGCTGCTGATATTCAGCCACCTGTGTGCAGGAAGGTTCTGAGGACTAGAGCCCGGCCCATATTTTGTGGAACCATCGTATCAGTGATAATTGTCCCATTATGTGCCGATATAAACACTTCTAATCGTCACCCATAAAATGCTGGAATGAGCCGTAGCTGTACAATGTATCCAGCAGAGGGCGCATGAAGAATACTTTCAAGTCATGACCATTCATTTCAACTTTCACTGTCAGCACAGCCGAAGCAGGGAGCAATTCTGTGTAGAGCTGCATTCGGACCTAAAAAGTCCGACCCGGCCCGAACCCGATCACTTAATTGTGATTACAAACCCGAACCCCATCCCCCCAAAAAACAGACATTTTATTTTTAATTGAGCTTTCACTGCTTTTGTAAGCAAATCAATTTGACATGATTTAAAAACATTTCAAAGAAAAGAAGAAATAAGATTTCTTGTTTATTAACAAGAGTCAGCAGATTATTATAGTTATAACGTTTTTTTCAATCAACCTTTAATTATACAGGCTAGTCTCACTGAGCCACGAGGACTCTTTTACAACAGGGACCTGTTACACATATTATAGTTATTATAGTTATTAACGGCTGGTGGACGTGCGCGGCTGATGATTAAATTGGGACATCGGCCACGTGCGCCCGTTGTTGCAGCGGCTGAGTCCAGTTAAGCTTCAGGTGGGTCGCTGGTCATCTGGACTTTTTTTATTTTTACCCCTTTCAACGAGTCGGTCAGTGCCGCGCGTGTGCGTCCATTGACGCAATCAAAAGCCCGACACTGACCCGGCCTGTCCATGCAGAACATTATTTTGGCCGTGCGCGGGCCTGGGTTAGAAATGACGGCTCTAATACTGTGTAGCATGTTTTGCTGAACACAGCATGGAAACTTTATTTTAACTGATCTGTAAAACAAAACGATAAATTCTCTTCAATCCTCCAACTCACTTGTCATTAGCTATGTGCCTCTCAAGTTAGCAAGCTCATGTTTATATAATCTAGCATAGGCTAGGCCTTGTAAAACTTTATCCAGAACAATAAATGTAACAGATGTGAAATATATCAGAGTTAATAACGTTATCTTTGTTGTCCTCAATGAAATGCATTGTTTGTCTGAAGTCTTTACTTCTCTGCAAAGAAAAATAAACTCTGCTGCGGTCAATACTAATAAGACCTTCACCATACACTGCTTAAACAATGAACAGGAAGCGTTTCTTTGTTTAATTTATTTTTTTGTTGATTAAACCTTAAATTGACAACTTTAAGATAAATAGTGGAGATAGAAAATGTGAACGCACATTAGGAAGATGTTTTTATGACGAGTGCACTTCTTGTAAACCTGCTGTGGGTCTACGTATAGCCTGGATCTGATTAGCTTAGCTTCATGGTTGCCAACAGCTGTGCTAAATAAACAAGCCCCGCCCCACTCGCCGTTTACTTAGATTCTTGGAGCGGACAAAACTAAAAAACTTTCAGCCATTATATCTGTTATCAGCGGTCGTCTTCCCCTCCCAATAGAGATTAGTGATAGCTAAAATGACCAAATTGGTCAGGCTCTACTGAGGACATCCAGCGTCTCTTGGCGCTGTGATGCTCGACAAACTCTTTTCTGGAGGAGACGTTCAATGAGACATGATGCCACAGAGAGAACTAATGTCCAGCAGAAACCAAAGTACTCCACAGAGCTTAAAGATAAAATGCTAAAGTTTACCTCCAATTCCTTTATCCAGGTACCATTTGGCTTTCTTCTTGTCACACGTGCACAGAGGCTGGCCGTCAGGCGCATACAGGAAGCAGTTATCATAGAGTGGAGACTTCCTGAAACAAGCAAAGGATGAGAAGTATAAAAACTCGTAGAGCAGGGACAGTTTGCAGAGTGGCTCTTCTTCGGCTGCTTCCTCACCTGGCAGAATAACCGACACCCAGCGGCTTCCTCTTGTTATTTTTTCGAGGGTCTGGGACTTGTTGATCTCCAGACTCTGGAATTTCACACAATGCCGGCTTCTTCATCCTCCGTCTCCTTTCTCCATCGCCACTCCTGTCGTCTCCCTCCCCTCGGGCCCTGAATGGGACGTCCACCAGGCCCTGGCAGAGGGAGACCAGCTCTGAAAAGGAGGTCCCATTGGAGTGGGTCGGACCGGCTTCAGACCGAAGGCCGAGGAGACGGAGGAAGAGCGCCATGGAAACCTGAGCATCTCTGGCAGCGTAAGTCATCTGGAAGAAGCAGAGGAGGAGGAGTTCATCTCACCTTCAGCCTTACTGTGTGGATAATGAAGCATTTATTGTCATCCATTTGTCTTCCGCACGTTTTTCGGCATCTTTCTCGTCCCGCAGTTTTCAATCTATTTCAACAAATCCTATGTCAAAACATCCTGAAGCATGCTCGATAATACAGGTAGAAAAATCAAAGAGTTAAGTCAGGTCGTCTGGACGGGTTATAAAAAACGGAAAATTATAGAAATGCTTCGTGTCTTCAGTCTTTCAGATGAAAGATGAAATGTTTCTATAATTTTTAGGTTTTTTTTATAACCCGTCAAGACGAACCTGACTTAACTTTTTTAGACCGATATCAAAATGTTCAGCTCTTTCAGGACAACCCTGCTATGACTTTTGGTGCAACTTTGGCTTTTGGAAATATTTAGCCTTTTCTGCCATTTTTTTCCTCATAGAAAATGAATTGAGCTCATTTTTACATCCTTCAACCTTTTAACAGCTCCTTTCACATTTTGTTCTGCTTCAGCTTCTTTCAGCTTCCTTGTGCAAATTTAAAAAACTTTTTTCAGCTACTTTCAGCTGTTTTGTGCCCCTTTCAGATTTACTCTACTAATTTTAGCTTATGCTCCTTTCAGCTTATTACAGCAAGTTTAAGCTTTTTTTCTACTATTTCACCTACTATTTAGCTGTTTTATGCTAATTAGAGCTTTTTAGCTAATCTACATTTTTTGCACTCATTTCAACTTTTTTCAGCCTAATTCAGCAAAAATGTGTTCTCTCCACTTCTTGCAGTTTCAGCTTCTATCTGCCTTTTTAGCTACTTTTCGGCTGGTTTTTTTTTTTGCCAATTTCATCTTTTTCCAGAAAATCCCCCTCTTGTTTTTTTTTCCATTGACCCTTTATTTAAACAGGTAGTCTCATTGAGCCATGAGAACTCATTTTCAAAAGAGACCTGTTTTTGAGAGCAGATTTTTTTTTTGGGGGGGGGGGGGGGGGGGGGG